CATTCTGTTGGCGATTTGGACATTGATTTGTGAGGAAGACAACCAGATGCGCCACAGGTCCTGGTTTGGTGGTGGCGTTGTTGGGCGTTTGGCGAGCCGGCAAGGTGTCTGAGAAAACTGTCACCAGACATCGTTTTGGTTTGTTCTTGGAATCAGTGAAGCAGGAAAGCAGGGACAAGATGGGCCAAGGAACTTCGATGTTTTTTTGTAAAAAAAGTGACCGAAATGGTTTCCTCACTCTCCGATATCACCTGTGGCGGGAGGCCTATGTGCCGCTGGAGCCCAGTTTCCCACCCCAGCGGCTTCGCTTTATGCTAGAAGATTCACAGGTACCTTGGAACATCTTGGAACGCTTTGGGCGGTGGCGGATTTGGTTCAGGTGTGGGAAAATAAAATGGGAGGCGGCTTGTATGATCTTGTGTGTTTTCCCTAAAGAATCTTGAATGCTCGCCTTCTTCGATTTCCAAGCGTATCCAATTTTGAGACATACTGAATTGGAATTGTTTGATCTCTGTCCGAAAGCTGCTGGCACAAGCATTGGAAATTCCGGGCTGTGGCCTCGTGCCATTTGGACCTCGCCCTGTCCCATGGAAGTGGCGAAGTCATTGGCCTCTTACACGTTCCTAAACCCCAACTGGGTCGTGTACAGAAAGCCGTTGAGGTCTTCGTTTTGCACTTGCTTGTCACTCAGCATGTCATGTGATGTTGTTTGTTTTTTTTCTGCCCGTCCACCCTGCGGACAGCCAAAAACTGCCTTGACCATCAGAAGGCTTCTTTGGTCACAGGAGGTCCAAAGGCCACCTTCGGATCTCCTGTGACCAAAGACGTCTTCGGACAAGGCAAGTTCAGCTCGCAGCCGCGCAGCCCTTATTTTGCAGCAGTTTGTCTATCACAATCGAGAAAGGATGGGCGTTGGCTTCAGTCAAGTGTGCATGGTGGTGAGATGCGGTGATGCACAAGAGGCCGCTTGTTGCGAGTGTTTTGGGTGTGATGGTGGAAGGCCTTCTTGGAAGCTTTTGTCCTGTCGATTCTGGCAAGGAGTCTACAGTGTGAGAAACGCACGCTATAGACTCCTCTTCAGAGTTGACAAGGCTCCCCCTGCAATGGTCGGATGTGGCCACACTCATTGACACCGACTTCTGCAATATGCACAACAGAGACACGCAACTGAAACGCTGTGAGGCAGTAGATCAGGAGAGTGTGGCGGAGCTGTTGTTTCAGAACTTAAAGGCAGAAAGTTCCACCGTGCGGTTGGTGCCCGGTGGTTCCTGCGATGGTTTGCAGGCAGTCTTGGTGCGGGATGATGCCCTGGACCTCACCCTGTCCCGACCCAGTTCGGGTTTCGGAACATTTCAGCTTGAAGCCGTGATGTTTCGGAACCCTAACTGGTTCGTGTACAGAAAGCCGTTGATGTCTTCGTTTTGCACTTGCGTGTCACTCAGCATGTCATGTGATGTCGTTTGTTTTTTTCTGCCCGTCCACCCTGCGGACAGCCACAAACTGCCTTGACCATCAGAAGGCTTCTTTGGTCACAGGAGGTCCAAAGGCCACCTTCGGATCTCCTGTGACCAAAGACGTCTTCGGACAAGGCAAGTTCAGCTCGCAGCCGCACAGCCCTTATTTTGCAGCAGTTTGTCTATCACAATCGAGAAAGGATGGGCGTTGGCTTCAGTCAAGTGTGCATGGTGGTGAGATGCGGTGATGCACAAGAGGCCGCTTGTTGCGAGTGTTTTGCGTGTGATGGTGGAGGGCCTTCTTGGACCCTTTTGTCCACTGCTGTCGATTCTGGCAAGGAGTCTACAGTGTGAGAAACGCACGCTATATACTCCTTGTCAGAGTTGACAAGGCTCCCCCTGCAATGGTCGGATGTGGCCACGCTCAGTGACCCTGACTTCTGCAATATGCACAAAAGAGACACGCAACTGAAACGCTGTGAGGCAGCGGAACAGAAGAGTGTGGCGGCGCTGTTATTTCAGAACTGAAAAGGCAGAAAGTTCCACCGTGCGGTTGGTGCCCGGTGGTTCCTGCGATGGTTTGCAGGCAGTCTTGGTGCGAGATGATGCCCTGGACCTCACCCTGTCCCGACCCAGTTCGGGTTTCGGAACATTTCAGCTTGAAGCCGTGATGTTTCGGAACCCTAACTGGTTCGTGTACAGAAAGCCGTTGAGGTCTTCGTTTTGCACTTGCTTGTCACTCAGCATGTCATGTGATGTCGTTTGTTTTTTTCTGCCCGTCCACCCTGTGGACAGCCACAAACTGCCTTGACCATCAGAAGGCTTCTTTGGTCACAGGAGGTCCAAAGGCCACCTTCGGATCTCCTGTGACCAAAGACGTCTTCGGACAAGGCAAGTTCAGCTCGCAGCCGCGCAGCCCTTATTTTGCAGCAGTTTGTCTATCACAATCGAGAAAGGATGGGCGTTGGCTTCAGTCAAGTGTGCATGGTGGTGAGATGCGGTGATGCACAACAGGCCGCTTGTTGCGAGTGTTTTGAGTGTGATGGTGGAGGGCCTTCTTGGAACCTTTTGTCCTGTCGATTCTGGCAAGGAGTCTACAGCGTGAGAAACGCACGCTATATACTCCTCTTCAGAGTTGACAAGGCTCCCCCTGCAATGGTCGGATGTGGCCACACTCATTGACACCGACTTCTGCAATATGCACAAAAGAGACACGCAACTGAAACGCTGTGAGGCAGCAGATCAGGAGAGTGACCATCCTTTTGAAACGAAGTGGTGGGATATGGCCCCATATGTTGGATGCACAGCGTGGTGGGTTTGTGGAGAAGGCTGCTTGTCATGTCATGCTACTATTTGTCAGATGTTCTCAAAATCACTCCTGAGACTTGGGACTGCAGTCGATTTAAGAGCCCAATTGGTTTTCATTCCATTGGTGAACATAGCGATTGGCACGGCACGAACTAACACATTCAGAGTGCGAGGCATCTCCCAAAAAACCTCTGAACTCCTTCCCCGCTTTACTTTTCACTTCTGGCAAGAGGAAGACTTGGACATGTTTGTCAAGTGGGGGCTGGAGAAGATGTCGCATTGGCACCAGCTCAACTGGACATTGCTTAGCTCTGATTTGTTCCCTCAGCACGTTTGACTTTGCGAAAGCAGAATGTGAAGACTCGTGGCAGGAACTTTGCCGCGCTTCCCAGCAATCAACTCGCATCATAAAAGTCCAAGCCCGTCGATTGATGCGCTTTCCTGATCACAGATTTTGGGTTCAAAACAAAGCCAGCGACAGAGGACAAGTTACTTCAGAGAAACTCATATTCCAGCTACCTGGGATTTTGTAGATTTATGTGTGAAAACTAGGTAAGCATGCAAAATTTAGGACTCCATGCGATCGGTCCTTCAGTATGCAGGGTTCACCCTATCGCAAAATGGGCCTTTGGGAAACACCAACCCAAAATGGACAGAGGAGTTGCAACAAAGACTGAAAAGTGTGGCAACTGAGATCTTCCCATAAAATCCGGAAAAAAAAGGTGCCCGAGGATTCACTTTTGCGTGATGATCGTGATGAACCACCATGGCTTTGGGCGAAAAATGGCTAAGAGGTTTCAACACGTTAGATCATTTTGGATAAAATTAGCAAAATTCGATCTTCAACAAGTTCAGTGCCACACATCTCTAAACGCTTGGGCTCATAGAGCCAAAAATGTTGGGACTGTTGTGTGAGAAATCGCTGCAGTGGAAAATGGCAGCAAAACTACTCCACTCGAATAAAAAAGGAATTGCTTAAAAGTGAATGACTATTTGATACTATTTGATACTATTTGATACTATTTGATACTACTTGATAGTATTTATTTGATACTCTTTGGCAGCTTAATGCAGTTTAGCAGATGCAAATTTGGCCATTTTGGCATACTGAATTCCGTCATCGAAATGTTCTGGAGCTCTGAGGCCCAGCTGCTTCTGGCTTCTGAGCTTGAGGTTTCAACGGTTTCAACTCCGATTCTCAGGTCAGCATGACGGGTTGATGTCACGAATCACGAATCCAAACGGGTTGAGGTACCAAGTTTTTGAAGCAAATTTCAGACTCGGCATCAGTTGAACCTTGAGCCTGTTTCAGGCCATGCCCAAATGATGTCAAGTACTGAACATTCAATCATGATCAATACAACTAGCATAGTTTACATGGTTTGTCCCTATAGAGATTCACAGATGCTTCTCAGCCCACAGTGTCAATTTGTTTGCTTGTTGTTGAAATGCACAATTTGGCGGTCCAGGCCAGTCTCAAGTTGTAGCCCCTAAATTTCCAAAACCCCCAAAAAACACGTTTCAAACAAGAGCATCCAAACAATTGGAACCAGCAGACCAATCTGCTTTGACCAATTCCTCAAAATTCTCGAATTGTTCACCCAAGTATTCTGCAAATGACTTAGTGTACCTTTCGTTGATTGCAAAATGTCAATCCCGGACAGTCACAGACATGAAGCGACCTTCTCTACGACATGGGAAACCGGTGCATGATAATGCACAAAAGCGCATGTTTTGGGACGGTATACAAAGGATTATCTCCCGAAGCGGTTAGAGGCCTTAGAGGCCCTGTTGCGTGAAATCCACTTTAGCTGGCAAAGCGAGTCCAATGATCTGTGGTGAGAAAGCCCCAGAAACGGGAGGATCATCTCGAAACAAGAACAATCATTGTTTTTTTTTTCGCCATTCCTTATCTGGTTCGCCAAATTGGAACTGGTCAGTTTGGCGACCTGAAAAAATTGAAGAAATGAGATCCGTTCAGATCTGTTCATGTTATCTAGCAGTTCAGCATGGAAGCGGCGAGGCTCTTACCAACTGGCGAGCTACCTGCGGACGTCAATGGTCCAGATGTTGAGGTCTGGGTGACAAGGAAATTGCGGAACTCGAGAGGGGTGTAAGTTAGTACACTTCATTCTGGATAGTCAACTCTTGAATTTCATGAATACATTGTTTGGGCTATCCAATGTCGTAGAGCACCAAGTTTGAATCATAGCGTGATTATGGCTGCAAAGTTTGTCACGGATGCAGCGCATTATGCAATTACGTTGGAAAATGGAACGAAAAACATGTTCCAGGAGGCATCATGGCTTGCTCGAACAGGTGAAATAAGAACTTGTGTTTTGATGTCGATGTTTGCTGGTTGCTGTGCACCCCGGGACAGGTGCAGCCCAGATCCCATTTGGCGTACCTCATCTACACCTCTGGATCAACTGGAACTCCCAAAGGATGCCACTGTTTGACCACTAATGTGAACGGTGGAGCAGAGATTAGGGTTCTTTCAGACAAACATTGTGCCCAAATGAGAATATTTTTGTGTTGTGACAGACATGATTACCACTATTTCCCATATACAATTTTGTTTAGACAGATGAAAACAAGGATGTCCTGCTTCCACCACCGCGAGGAGTTTTAGTGTCACAGAGCAGTGTCTGCAATGTGCAAAAAACGCCTTTGAAAACTCATGGCAAGTGAGGATTTTCGAAACGTGTTTTGCTTGGCAGCACAGCTACTGTGGAGACGCGCTGTCAGTTAAAACGTCGACGCACCTCAGGGGAACAGAGTGGGGTGGGGCTTCGCTATGAAGGTAGGGTTGTGGGCTTTACATTTCGTGTTTGTTGAACATGAACCATAAATCATTGCTGCCGTTTTCACAATGGTTGGTTGGGCCCTCTATCTTTCACAAATTGGTATTATCGGCTGGAAAAGTGAAACTCTGGAACCATACAACTCTTGAGCAATCTTTGCAACAGAAAACCTGAATGCTTGAGTGGCCCAGGATAATTTTACAATTCCTGAATCACTTTTCTGAAGTACAACTGATGGTTATGTCCACCGAAGCCGTACAGTGTGGCGGCAAAAAAAATCCAGCAGGTGTTTACAACCGCGACCTGTCATCAAGATTGGACTATGTGGTTCCAGAATTTGACAAAACAAACTCAACAATAGTGGGAAGGACATTATGCTGTCTGGTTTCGGATTATAATATATTTATATGCGTATCACGCTGTGTATGTGTATATAATATGTATGTATAGTGAAAATATACATGTTAGTTTTTAGCTTTAGAACCCTGATTGAGTGATGGATTGAAACCACGAATCAAGGCATTCTGAGTTGGCGTGAACCTTTTGTGAATCTGGAATTGTTCATGGAGAACTGCAATGAACCTTCACCCCTTGGGCAACTAGCCTGTATGTACACAATTCTCAATCGTTTCAGATGGATTCCCCATGAATTTTCATGGCGACACACACCCCCTGTAGCTTTCCGCTGTCAAACTATGCCTAAAACCATAATATATGTTTCTTTTGATCAACCCATTGAAACTGGGGAAATCCCCATTGCGCCATGCTGTTTCTGCCATGGACGGCGCCGCAGCCTCCACACCGGTGGTGGCACCAAGCATCGACGAACTAGCGGATGAACTCATTAGGTGCAGCTGACCTTGCCGCGGCTGGGTTAAGATGGTATACCAATAGACCCACAAGAGGCTGATCGTTTGGAAATCAGATGGTTGGACAAATCGATTTCCTCCTCTTTGGTTCCGGAGCTCTGTGTTGCGATGGTTCACTGACAATCGATTTAGTTGGATCATTTTCCCAGTGAAATGTCCGGGAATTCGCAGCTGGCCATGTTTGATTATTGGTCTCCTGGCACGATTGAATCATCCATCTGGATGGTTTATCGGGCCAGGCCTGCATTTTACCGTCCTCATGGGCAAAAATGCGATCATTGTGTTTTGGGATACACAAAGTTGAGACAGACCTAGAGATGAAGATACAAGGACCAAACTTGACCAAACCAACAAATCTGGGGAGGTTTCAGCAAAGGTTTGAAGACAAGTGGCACTAAATGACCAACCAAATGACCAAACGCCCAAAGTTCGAAATCCACACAGAATCGCAAGAAAGACCAACTCCATGGGATCACCATAACGTAGACAGGACGTGCACGGGGGAAGTTTCCTTCCAGATCCGACTGACAGTGGCTGAGCCTAGGTATCCTCAAGGCGAAATCAATTGGATATGATTTTAGAACACCTTGCTGAATTGATTGATCTTGGGATATTTAGATATGGGGTTTGTCAGTGTCTGTCTCACACTCAGGAACCACAATATCCCATTGTGACGATATTTTTTTTAGCAATTGAATGGCCATAAGTTAGAGTATTCCCCAACGATATTTTTTTTAGCAATTGATTGAATGGCCATAAGTTAGAGTATTCCCCATTTTGATGCAAAACCGTGAGCCCTCTTTTGCTGGTTAAATCCTCATGTTTGCTGGTTATATAAGTTCTATTTTTGCAAGTGAAACATATTGAAACACACATTTTTTTCCTGGTTAAATCACCATTTTTGCTGGTTAGATCGTCATTGTTGGATGTGCCATCATCCAGAGAGCTGGTTAATGTGGATTGCGCAGGCGGGGGGAAGAGCGGCGACGCTACCTGAAAGAGGAGAAGGAGAAGATGATGCTGGAATTTGAGGCCGGCTGAAAGTGGGCATTTCTGACAGAAATTGGCATATCATATAACTATAACAATTGGTGTGGGATTGTTGTTGGTTTTTAGTTGTATATGATAGGTGTATATACTGTATGATAGTTGTATATACATATCATATATACGTATATATATAATATACAATATATAGGATATACATTAGGTGTATTTCTGAATGGGGATAGCGGAGAACAATAATAGGTAGACAGGTAGATCATTTCCACCAAGGAGTTGGTCAGCGGGAGCAAGGCTTTGGAGCCAGTTTGGCAAACCTAAAATTGGGCATGGTAAACCCAATTATTATAAAACTCCATACACATCATATATATATGTATTTGCGGATGCTTCATTCTTGTTTATTGTGATGTATGTATATATACAAATGATGTGTAATATATATATATATATGACTATAATATATATATATATACATTATATACATAATTACATAATATATATAAAATATACATATACATACATAATACATATATATATACATATACACAATACATATATATATATATACACATAATACGTATATATATATGTATATATGTATATATGTATATATGTGTATATGTATATATGTATATATGTATATATGTATATATGTATATATGTATATATGTATATATGTATATATGTATATATGTATATACTATGTATATACTATGTATATATGTATATACTATGTATATATGTATATATGTATATATATACACATATGTATATGTATATATGTACACATAATACACATATATATATATACATATTATAGATAATATTACGCAATGTATATATATATATACATATATACATACATAGATACATACATATATACATACCTACCTACCTACCTACCTACATACATACATACATACATACATACACACATACACACATACACACATACACACATACACACATACACACATACACACATACACACATACACACATACACACATACACAAATAAACAAGATCCATACATACATACATACATACATACATACATACATACATACATACATACATACACATATACATACATATATACATACATACATACATACATACATACATGTCAACAATGTAAGTTATATATACACATACACATACACCTACACCTACACATACATATACACACTGCATATACATATACACATACATATACACATGCACATGCACATACATATACATTTACATATGTGTACATATGTACATACACACAGATAAAATATACATACACGCCTACATACCTACATACATTCATACATTCATACATTCATTCATTCATACATACATACATACATACAGATATATATATATATACACACACACACCCGCATTGTAAACCCCAAATGACCCAAAGGTTTCAGCCCGCTGACAGTAGGCGAAGCGTGTCCAGCTGCACACGGAATACTCCAGCCGACTTCTCCAAGCCGATGAGGAGCTGATTTTTCCATGCCAGGAATGAGAAGCCTGGGGTGATATGGATATTGAGAAGATAGATATATTTCCCATATATAGAATGATTACTAGTGAATATAGATATGTGATATTGCTAATTCATAGATTACTAGACTTAATCATTGTAGATCGAGCATTATAAACCTACTATGGTGGTGGCTATATGAAGTTATCCCATTTATGAGATGATAATAGTAAAACATAATGGAATACAGTATAAGCAGAAAACCAAATATTATGGGGTGACAATCATATATCCCAGTATAATGGTCTATGACATCTACAGACATTATGTTATAAGATAATTTGCCCCATGGAACCTATTTTGGCAGCCCTTGTGTTTCCAAGATTGAATGAATATCTTGGCATATTACTAAATAGCTGTCTAGGAGTGTGACTGGTTGGCGGTTTCCATTTTTTGCTTTCCATTTCTATGACTAGAATTCCAGCCAGGTGTAAGGTTCATCAGATTCTATCCATGTTACCGTGGTGATTTTCCGCCAATGATCTCTATCAGTGGAACACTCAAACACCCACAAGATGATGGATGGCTATCTCTCAGTTCTCCATATCAGCTATATTCACATATATTCACCCTTTTTTGTGTGTACAATCCAGATTTCAGTTGATCGATTTTTTCCACGTTTCTTCTTTCAATCCCCATTCTTCGTCTCGAAAATCCATATTTTCTGATTTCAACCGCCATTTTTCCCATTTTTCCCTGAAAGTGGACTTTTTCAACATATATATATATAATTATAATCCCGTAGAAATCACCAGTTATAACCATCATTAATCACTATTAGCCACTATTAATGGTTATAATCATCATTAATCATTAATCATATAATCACCAGTTAACCATTTTTTTTTTCTAAGCTCCTGCTCTGTGCTGACGGTGGACACCTCCAGGAGCTCCGTGGCGTGGTGGAGGAGCGCCAGCTGCGAAGGCAACTGACCTTGGGCGCCAAGGCGCAGGATGTGGTGACGCTGGACGCGCCTTGGTGACCGGCTGGTGGCTGGTTCCATGGGGGTAGCCATCGATCTAGGCAAAATATAACGACCTCACTGCGACCTCACTGGAATAATGGTTAGTAAGTGGAATTATCATGAATTATCCAAATATGGTCTTATTTCAGGTTAGTGAATTATTATAATTTGCCCAGATCGATTTTCCAAATGGATGGATTTTGGAGAGGAAAATATAGGAAAATCCCCATAAACAATGGGAAAGACCGGGAAAAGAAAATGGAAAATCCAGCGAACTAGCCAGGTTGATAAATGTTGTCTTTCAGTTATGGTTGATTACCGGAAGGTATTCTAAATGCTAATAGGAGGGATTGGGTATAAGCTAGAAGACATTAGCCTCCAGTTCAAGGGCCCCGCTAAACTAGAAGTTCATCATACATTTCAATCCAATACAGCAATTCAAGATCTCAACACGCCAAAACCAAAAATCATAACAACTCAAGAATTCAATGCAACACAATTTTGATCCAAAACTCATATTCGTACCTCTTTCAGTTCACGCCATTTGAAATCTCACATGGTCCGCTCCCACCTCTGATAAGAAGCTCAGAAGATCAAGCTCTATGATGCGGGGGGGTTCAGGGTTTTGAGAATAGCCAGATATGGCTTTGTGTCAAAATGTTGGATTTGCCCCCAAGTGATAGTGTTTTAATGGGAAGACATAATTAAACGATGGCATATCATACTGTGGAAGCCCGGCAGGGGATGAGCGAAAACGCTTCATGGTAACAGTTTCCCCACAGGATGCCACCTTAGGACTGGCTCAGCAAAATATGGTGATGTAACCAATGACGGGTAACTTTCCCAGGTCGGTGGCAAACTTTACACGGTGAAGAGAGAAACGCTGTGCCACTTGGTCGGTCAAATGTGATGAATTATGATGAACTGGCTTGGGGCGTGGCTGGAACTTGTTAATGGAAGGCATGGCGCTGTGACAAGCTGAGGTTCTCCAGATTTATACTTGACTTATTTCATTTTGTCACCACCACAGAATCTCATGAGATGCTGGTCTTGCTGAGAGGGAAGATCTAGATTTGGAGGTTTCCTGAAATGGGGTTACCCTTAAATCCTTCATTTTATATAACAGGATTTTCCATTATAAACCATCCAGCTATTTCCGTATCCCCATTTCTGGAACCGCCCATTTTTTATTTTCTCCCAGGGTATCCCACCTGAAGGTCTATGTCGTGGATCCTTTCTGGCTGAAATCTTCTCTGGAAGGTGCACTGATGCATGGGCCTGATGCCTGAAATCGCTGGAAAAGCATGGGAGTTTGGGGCACCCTATGTTCAAACAAACCCATTGGGAGGTTCAGCAGGCATGCTAGTGTCATGGTATGAGAAACATATCCAATCACTGCAAGTATGAGTGACATAACCCGCAGGTATGACTTGCAAACATTCTGATAAGGAGGGGCATGATAGTTTGGTACATTTGGTGGTGCGACGATAGGATTTTATGTACCCTCTGGTGATCCAAACTTGGCCGGCAATAAACTCAATAAACCTTTTGAGTTTTCCAGTAAAAACAATTGGGATTTCCTAGCCAGATTGGCTCAACAGTGGGGAATAAGACTCTATCAGCCACTTGTTCTGGGCCAATTTTCCCCAAGTTACAGGGGTCCAAATACGGGGAGCATCTCAGCATTCGTACGCCCAGCGGTGTTTACAACAGGTGCACCCGATTTTTTGTTCCAGGTGGGATGGGTTCCCAATGGTTCCCATCCCAGCTGCAAGGTGGGACAGTTCGCTTCCACGGGACAAGGCAAATCACATCTTTTTGGATATCGATCCGGAGGCCCCGGGTTTTCCAGCCAAAACATGGAAGGAATCCTATGAAAACACACGAAAAAGTGGATATCATCGGGATGGAACCAACTATAAAGGGGATTTGCCTGTCTAAAATGGGCATAATGAAATAACCAAATCATCAATAAATGACACTAACATAATAAATTAACGTAGATATACATAGATATGGAACATCCACCGTGAAAGCGGATCTTTTTCTAGGGAAATCATCGATTTCCATGTTTTTTTGTTAATTTACAGACTTTTCAGTCGGCGTCCCGAATTGCTCAAGTTGATGTCCACATTTGGTCAGATGTTTTCCCGTGTTTGATGGTTTAAACATGTTACCTTTTCAATCAATGAAATCATCATCCATATCATTGTTCTCAACAGTGACTGTTGGGTGTCAATCTCTGGGTTTTGGAGTGGTGCATCGTTTGTTTGCCGAGCCCTAAAACCGAAACGAAACCAGAATGCTGGAACCCTGACACCCTGGAACATGCTGTTGGGTTGCAAAGCTGGGTTAAGAGCTTCTAGATACCAATTTGCTTGGTTCTATCCCCGTATCGGTCCGTCAAATCCATTTTTTTTAGTGGTAAAATCCAATTTGTTTGCTAGTTAAACTCTTGTCTTGATGCTTAACCTGGCTTAACCATGCTTAACCATGCTTAGGCTTAACCATCTATTCGCCCAAACTATGTTTTTGATATCATGTTTGATGGATCACCCACGTACATCGCAGGTCTTTGACGTGCTATTGGCCTGGCTGCGGGACTGCAAGATTGGCGTCTTGACGGATGGTTTCTGAAATGAATCGTGACGGATGGGTCAAATGGGTCAAACATTCAGACTCTTCAATTCTGGGGATGAAGCTCATCATATCATCAGCCAAATAGGGGATTTGGTCAATAAAGTGGGACCAAAAGAACCGGGACACGAAATAAGAGCCAAAGAACTGCATTTTTTTCTGAAGATGAATCATCCATTTTTTGGGTTCCCACTAACCTACCCCAAATGATGGATTCTAATGGTATATTTGAGCTTGGTGAGTCATCTTGAACCTATCGATTGATTTGAAACCTGTAGCAGCTTAGGAAGATAAATTTGGATGATCCCCACTAGCAAGTACTGTATTGTGAAACTAAGCAAAAGGATGAACTCATGATGAAAAAGGGACATTCTATTCAAAGAAGTGCTGGCTTTCGCCCTTTCTCACGTTTTTTGGATATGATTGCATCATCTTGTTCCATTCGAGGTCCAAGTTGCTCTTGATAAGATGATCATTCGGGTTTCCTGTAACATCTACACTTCAGCAATCTGTTCAGACTTGCAACGGGTTGTGGCAATGGATGATACACCTCAGGTATGTGTAGCCTACTTGTTTGCCTACAGGTAGTGTGATCAAGCAGAATGACCTACACTGTAGTTGTTTGGATGTATTTAGTCTTTTCAGGCACAGATACAGCCAATTGTGATTGTATGTATTCACTTGTCCTATTTTGGAAGATGTGAAGAATTGCCACTTATTCAAGGTATGGGTAGACCAAGCACCAACTAGAGATAGACATGGGATGATATGGGTATATGATGGTATATGCAGAAAAAGTTTAAGAACATTTTTTTTGTCTTTTATAAGTTCTTACGACATCCAATTTTTTGGTTACCCAATGACTTGACCCATACCCTTATTTCACCAACAAGTATTTGTGTTTATATATATATATTTCTCCTTCTCTCTCAATTTGTCTATCGAATCTTATCTAAATCCAGTCTAGTCTAATCTAATGTAATCTCATCTCTTCTCTCTTCTGTTCTGTTCTACTTAATTTTATTAAGTTCCCTTCCATTCCATTCCATTCTGCTTCAATTCGGTTCTATTGAATTGTATCTAGACACATTCATTTCTGCATTCTCGTATTTGGGTGAATCAGCTGAATTCTGCAAGAAGCACTATCCATTTCATGTCAAATCTATAGATACTGTATCTACTATTTGATACTATCTATGTATCGCTACATATCCATATACCCAAATACCAATCCTGCAGCAGATGGAATATGGACATTTCAAAAAATGCCCAGCCCCATACCAGGTCAGACCCCTGCGACAGCACCCAGTGGCCGCGTGGCGCCCGAGAAGATGCAGCACTTTCAGGCGACCCAGTGACTTGGGGATTTAACTGGTAAAAACAGATGATATACCCTCTGGTTATTTAACATAGCCATGGAAAATGGTCCATTTATAGATGGGTTACCTATTAAAAATTGTGATTTTCCATAGTTATGTTAGTTTACCAGAGGGTAACTGGCAAAACTGATGATTTAACCAGTAACCATGAAGACATAACCAGCAATGATTGGAGCTTCGAGCAAAACTAGGGATTTGACTAGTATAGAATTTGGAATTTAGCCATTCTGGGGATTTCATCCGTTGACCTGCTTGGAGGACCGCACTGAAAAAGCTGGTTATTCAACAACACTATTTTTACACACCTTCTAATGTTAGTAAAGCAGTAAACGATCCCCAAGTTTACCATATCCATATATGGCTGGTGATCACCAGTTCACTGATTCTTATGGGATGATCAACTATGAGGCATTTCACCAGAAACCTTTGGGACAAAAAGGCATCAACAATTGAAACATGAAACATGAAACATTCGGGATTCGAAGAAAAGTGGGGTTTTAGAAAGCAAAATGAGGATTTCAATGATTTCACCACCAACGTCACTGAACATGGGGGTTTCCTTGACCAAAATGCTGATCTTGGGCTGGGTCAACACCAATATAAATATGTCTACTTGGGAAATGTTGGGTTTACCCAGCTACGAGCCGCTGAAGATGGCCTTCAGATGAATCCCTGGAGTTATCAGGCTGTGGTGGATTTCTTCGGGTTGAGACCTTACCTCTCAGTGACCCGGCGTAGTTGCGGTGGAAGGTTATGACCTCGGTAGGGGTGAATTGACCATGGCATGAAGACGCGACTTGGTGTGAAACCAGGGGAACAGATTGTAACGCCCATCACACTCTGACGTCCGGGAAAATGATGGCTCTCCATGTCAAGGTTTCCCACTCGCTAAGGGGAGCTGCAGGGACACTGCGCAAAGGAATGGGTACTGAAACTCCTCGGTCCAACGATGGTATCTTGACGGAGCTGGCAACTTACAACTGATTTGGGGCCACTGTTGATATTTCACTAGTTGCACTTGGTCTATTTTCTTACTTTCAAGACAGTTTTCACCTGAGGTGAAAGGATTTGGCCCCGATGCCTGGGGTTCCAAGACGCCTAAGGACAGAGTGTGGTTTCAAAATCGTACTCGCATCGAACAGGGAACGCTGATGGATTTCCTATAAGCAGCAACAACAAGTTGAGTTTTGTGAAGGATCTGGAACTTTTAACATCTGGAAATTTTTCAATTCACTCGCAGATAGTCGGGGACTGTGCGGCCATGCAGAGAGCATCATTTCAGTGGGACTACCCTAACATCTGGAAAACCCATAGAAATTTGAATTTCTGCAGACGAAAATGATGGAAATTTCACCAGGAGGTCACCGAAGTTGCGCCGGAGCGCTCCTTCCTGAAGGTGGCAGGTGGGGGGCCAAGCTGCTGACTGCAGCATCGGATGAGAGGATGCCAAGGAATTTTGGGTAGATGATTAATAGATAACAACAATAATATAATATATATATATACACAATAGATCATAATGTTATATAGTATAATACTACGTATTATTAATGATATAATCATAATATATACTGTACATATATTTATAGTTGATGGCTTCAGCTTTCATTTTCCATCCTGCTTGGGATGATGATCTCCTACAGCCAATAGTTTTCACGAGGGTTGAAAGCAGCAAGCAGTTACAGTAAAAGATATCGGTGTGCAATACCAAGATCTTGAGCAAGAGAACGTGGGTGAATTACTGTATCACTTGTGACCAACAAAGGTTTGACCGCAACCAAGAAAGGAAACACAGACAAAGGCATGCAAAAATACAGCAAAATTCTCAGGGTTGCTCTCAACATGGGTAGAAAAGGGGGTGAAGTGACCAATTTTTCCCCCTTGCGGATATCATTCACCTACAATTGGTTGGAGCAACCCTGATATTTGTGCACCTGTCCCCGATTTTCACCCAATTTGGTACAACCTGGTCTTTTTCAAAGAAATTATTTACGATTTACGATTTTCAAAATGACAACCACCTGATTTTTCAGCCGTGAGATGTTCCACTCGGGATCTATCCAGCCAGAGTGTCAGAATGCTTCATCCAACATCTGGAGACGTTATCATTGATAGATTGAATTAGGACAGGTCAACATGCAGAAAAATGACAACCATCTGATACCATGTGCAACTTTTCGGGGCCTAACATATTTTTGACTTTTTGACACATCCCTACTATTTGTTTCCCATTTTGTTCGCTGATCTGGGCCATAAGCTGCATTTTGGTTGATTGACGTGAAGTTATTGATGGGTACAATCGCTTTTTAGTTACAACCCCCATAAATCGGGATATAAACCCAGCAAGTGGTATATCAGTTACTGTATATCCCAATGAATTGGCGGTTATATACATATATATATACACACATATGGTGGTTATAGTTATATATATATATATAGTATCTATATATATATATGATATATATGATATATGTATATATTATATATATATGTATATATATATACATATGTCCCAAGAAACTCATATACCACTTTCACCCCCAGGCTCCTTCCTTCCTTGGCGCATGGCTGCCACACCTCCGGCACCGACAACCGCGGCCACCTCGGAGCCAGGACTGGTCGCTGGAGCTGAAGTGGGGAAGGACGGCAAGCCGTGGATGCCCTAGGGTAAACATAGAAAAAGGTGGGATTTCATGGTGATTTTAATGGTGGTTTAATGGCATTTACATGGGATTTTAGTGTGATTTAATGGTGGTTTAATGGGATTTAATGGGTAAACATAGAAGAACATGTGGAAAACCGATGGTTTCCTTGGGAAAATGATCTACGCATGACACATGGTGGATTTTTCCACATTTTTTTGTATGTTCACAGGAGGGTATACCTCAACATATTCATTTTTTGGTAGGGAAGATGATGAGAAAAACAATGGAACTTTGATTGGGTATTCTAATTTCAGACACTTCCCATTTTTTTTGGGAATGGACCCAGGAGAATGAGGATAGTATTAGCAAAAATGGGAGATGATGGGTGTACAGTTGGGAACTTATGTGCAAAAGTCATCAATATATTTGAACATATTATCAAATGGGGTATGACCTATATGGAGGTTTCCTGAAATAGGGGTACCACCAAATCATCCATTTTAGATTAGGATTTTCCATAGCAAAAACCATCCAGCTATTGGGGGTACCCTCATTTATGGAACCCCCCATATGAGCCAAAAAATGGAAGTGGTTGATGGTTTCAACCCTTTTTTTCAACCAGATCTATGGGATGGTTTCTCTGCTTGGTTGACCAATAATTTGGATGTTCACAGGGGTCCCTGACTTGGGAAAGCACCATTTCTTTCTGTGGCAATAGCACAATTTCTATAGCCATGATTGCTTTTCTTTTTCAAACTTGGAGTGAAACCACTTCATTGTTTGTTGCGAAAAAACTTTGGCAATCTGACTGAAAACATGGTTGGCAGTCACTTCAGTCTAGTTCTTGAACTTTTGCCACCCATGAAAAAGTCTTGCCGCTAGTGTCCTGCCAGTGCAGAGGTAATCTTTCAGAGGAAACATCTTACCCTCTGGTAATTTGTTACATAGCTATTGAACATGGCCCATCTATAGTTGGATTTACCCATTGAACATGGTGATTTTCTATAGTTATGGGACAGTTTACCAGAGGGTAACTCCAAACGAACCTTAGGAGGTCAACTGTGGGTCTGAGGTGCCTGCCGCCGCCGTGGCGGCTCCGCCCAAGGTGGTGGGCTGGTCGCTGGTCCTGATGGGTTCAGAAGACTTTGGGAAGCAGTGCTACCAACCGACCAACAGGGAATTATAACAGATGGTATAATTTTATAATCTCTTTCCACCACCGCAATTTTGTGGGCTTGTCTGAAAATTCTGGGACCTCTCCTGAAAAATTCATGGTTGATCATGATTCGCCCTATGAAAATAAAGCCTTAAAACATGGCCATCTCATAGATATCCCATCTACCGAGGTCTCAGAAGAATTCGGACCCACTGGTGGAGCATGAAGAGGCCCAAGTTTACAGTCGGACATGGGGATAACATGGCACTGAACAATATATGGGGACATCGATGAACGTGATTTATCACGAAGTTTTATCCTTAGGGCCTTAGGGGCCTTGGGGTACTGCTATCCTATTTTGCAGACAAACTCAGATATGATTGAACATTTTTTATGAATTTCATGTGGTGGCATTTTCTGCATGACCCATCTCCAAATCTTGCAGAATAACATTGGCTCAGATGGATGTCTTGGACTCAGACAGGTTGAAGGGGGTGACAATTTTATTTCTATGGCATTCCCCTAACCTCAAATCAGCTCTTTTGTGGAATTCTCTGTCCAGGAAAGTTCTGGGATTAGGGTGAAATCACTTTGCCTTGAGTTCTGTAGGAATACCCGAGTGTATACGTCGTGATTTCTTGAGATGGTTCTATAGATTCGCATAGGTTTCCTCAGATTCCCATAGGTTTGCGTAGGTTGCCATAGGTTCCCCTTGGTTGACATAAGTTCTGATAGGTTCCCATTGGTTGACATAGATCCCCATCGGTTCCCGTAGGTTCTCATTGGGTGACATTGGTTTCCATTGCTCCCTTTACATCGGAGGTGAACATTTGTTGCTTGCCCGACACGCGCAAGCAACGAAAGTGCTGTACCGCGCGGTCCACGCGTGGCTACCAAAGCGGTGTACATCGATTTGGAGTGACACGTGGCAACTTGCAGATTCTGAGGTTGAGCCTGTTTGCGGTCTTATTTGTTGGAAGATGTTTTGCCGTAAGTAGTATAAATCTATGAATCCATGAGACAAATGAGCGTGACGGGTTGGGGTGGTTAGGGGGAATACATCTAAACTTAGAACTACGGTAGATGTGCAAGACCAAACAGCACGATGCGACCTCGGATTTCCCATGAGTCAGAACTCAAGACTCCTGAGCAGATAGATTCTGACTAGATGTGGAAATTATGGGGGATAGAAAATTTGGATCCATCAGCAATTGAATCACCCACCTTGGCACACTATTTTACTGGTACAATGGGATATTGCGGTTATGTGCAGTACTTGTGGACACAAAGTATTGCTTCAACTGGATCATTACATATATTGTGGATGTTATACGTGTTTCTCTCTCTCTCTCTAACTAGTTATTATGTACAGTGCACTATGTCATATATGTGAACGTATATGTTTTGAATATATATATATACATACATATATATATAGGTCTACACGAATACCAAGCAGGTACAGTTTAGAAATAAGCGTTATTATATAATCATTAATATCAACACATGTGGGACATCAGTGGAACTGAGGAGACTTCTGAACTCGAGCAACTGCGCTGTGGGCCTCGTGTGTTCCGACTGGAGCGACCGGTGGGGGAACACCAACGTTTGAACCGTGGTTTGTCTTCCATATCTATGTTAGTTAGTGAATTAGTTGTAGGGCTACAAGAGTAGACAAAATCATCTTTGGAAAATCCATGTCTTCAAAGATAAGTGTGGCTTGCACGGTCTCTTCATTAGGTTTTTAGTGGGTTCCGGCAAGGCAATCGGACCAGGGGGGAATTGGATTGGGAACAAACTTCCCCCCAGCTGCAATAGGTTGAGATTCGCCATGGATGTACTTTTCCCATTGCTTGATTTATTCTTTAAAGGGGCAATCGAACCCTATGTCACGATATGTTGGGGGTCCAGTTGGCCAAGAAAACGTACAACGGAGTCACTTATTTTCCCATCCTTACCGTAAGCTTGATTTTTCAGTCAGGCAAGCAGGAACTGGTTTCCCTTTTCCCTTCTTCGCTATTCCTATCGATCTTACTTACCCTCTGGTAAATTAACATAGACCCTGGTAGATAGGGGTTGGAAGACTAGTTTCCATTAAAAAATGGTGATTTTCAGGGTCTATGTTAATTTACCAGGGGGTAAGACTATTTTTGGCCCTACAATTGATAGGTTGCTCGCCTCCCTACAGACTGTTAAAGTCTTCTCTTTTTGCAGAAATTTGAAGAAGTTAGGTGAATCGTGTCTTGCAGACGTCGTCTGTTTCCCCAACATGAATATATAGAGTATTTTGACGTGGTTTCTTCCCTGATTTTCCCTTTCAGCTTGGTGTTTGCATGAAACCACGGGGGTCATGTTGCCCAAATCTTGTGTCGCCTTGCGGTTCGGTTTCATAAGCAAAAGTTCTCATGTATCAAGGTCACCGGAAGGTTTTTTTGCACAAAAGTGGAGAAACCCATTAGATTCATTTATCAATCCTAACATAATGGGTGGTTTACCCCAGCCCAAAAGACCTCATTTGGATTCATTTGGTTTAAAGGGAAATATAAAAACAGCCCATTTTTGTCCCATGTTTGATGGGTGATCCTCCACATTTTCCTTCCAGGAGCTATGACTCCGAGGCCGACGGCCACTTGGGCCACTTGGGCCACCGCGGCTGGGCCGTGGCATCTGACGGCAGCACCTGGGCCGAGGGAAGGCTGGACGGCTGATATCAGTGTTGATATCAGTGTTGATGAGTATAGCCGCTATAGCCATGAAAATATGGTGCTGATAATCATTGGAACATTACTGGAACATGTGTAACGTATGGGATTTAACTGATTTAACAATGAACATATGGGATATGATATGAGGTGATCTAAGTGTATAAAACTGATGATGGTTGGTTCATAGGGCTTTGTAGTCGACGTGATTTAATAGGGGTTTTATCCTTTTTTTAAAAAATAGGGGTTGATGTTCATGGGGGATGTCCCAAAAATATGAAAATATGGGGATCTAGGTGGATACAACTAAAATACACGTTGGTTGATGACTGGTTTGGGGACTAAACTAACTGTCATATGGGACGGGGATGATCACAATCCATGAATTAAAATGGTAGGAAGTCACCTTAAAACCTAATTAAAACAATAGTAATTCAAGAACTTTTGGGGTATCCACGAAATGGGTTTGAATTTTCTTTAACCAAAGGCTACCCTTGAAGTGACAACTTGATACCAGTAAAGAAGATGGTCAAAGATTGAGAATTTGGGTTACTCTATATGCAGCGCTGATACGTATCGATACTTCTAGATGTGGGTGTGTCTGAAAGTGAAGTATACCACTAAAACAGCAACCACTAGACTCAGGGGTACCCGATTTTGAGAGACACCCATACAAGACATAATACATCAACTATGATGAGTATAGCAGAAGAGCTATGAAAGGGATATGTCCAACTTTATGGCCAACGAAGGAAGTATGGTTCATTACCCAAAAGTGTTCGCACATCCGAATCATTCTTTTTTGGTACATCACCAACTTGAAAGTGGGACATTCAGCAATTCTTCTTAAGGTTTCCTTTCGGAAAAGGGATAGATTCCGGCTTCCAGACAAATATGTTTGGTGACCTGCAAGGCCCAAACACACAGCCGTGGCTTTTGTTGTTTGGCCAGGTTGAATTCCTGGCCATTTTTTTTTTGGTGGGGGTATATCCTCAATTTCCCGCGTTGCGAATATTTTAGGCAATTTTTTCGTTGGCGGAATCCGGAATCGTTTTGTTTGACTTTTTCCACATTTGGTTGGTCAACCAATAGTTACCTGGATGCAGTGGTTTTTGCATGTGGGTCAAAATGAGGTACACCAAAGATTGGATGGTGATCATTTATATGTATCTAGTTGCCTAAGATTGATATAGATATTAGGATACCAATCTTTTGGATTGGTAAGTATTATATACTACGTACTATCCATTGGATACCCTGATATTAGAGACATACATGCACATATATATATATACAGTGTATCTAACACTTATATATGTATATACATATATATATGTACATATACAAGTGTATGAATGGATAATGGATACCCAGCTAAAAATCAGTGACGATGTTGATTTCCCAGCTGGCAATGATCCGGCAGGGAGTTGGAGAGATTGCCCATCTCCTTGGGCGAGGCGGGATCTCTTTATCTTTCTATATGTTTATTTGTTGATATCTCCATCCATCTATCGAACCTATTGGAACCTATTGGAATCTATCGAATCTATCTAATCTCATCTATCGATGTATCTATCGTATCTATATAATATATCTAATATATCTAATGTATCTAATATATCTAATATATCCAATATATCCAATATATCTAATCTATCAAATCGACCTAATCTATCTAATCTATCAAAATAATCTATCTGTCTATCTGTCTGCCTGCTGTCTATCTGTCTGTCTGTCTATCTCCCCTGGAGCCCAGAAGGAGGAGGATGAAAGATTTGATTGTGATCTGCTCTGCACACTTCGTAGCACACGCCGCACTCAACAACAAGCTCTCCATATTCGTCACTAGCCTTTCTTTGTAGAACATGGTGATCTTGCTTCTCGGTTGTATTTTTTTTTTGGCCGACTTGAACCCCAAGCTACGGCCGAGGGGGGGGAAGTGCGGGCCCCGTAGCTATTGTACTGGTGGGCTACCTGTTCCAAATGCAAATCCAAATCCATATCCATATCTCTATCTCTATCTATATCTCTATCTATATCTATATCTCTATCTATATCTCTATCTCTCTATCTCTCTATCTCTCTATCTCTATATCTCTATATCTCTATATCTCTATATCTCTATATCTCTATATCTCTATATCTCTATATCTCTATATCTCTATATCTCTATATCTCTATATCTCTATCTCTATATCTCTATCTATCTACCTATCTACCTATCTATCTATCTATTGATCGATCTATCTATCGATCGATCTATCTATCGATCTATCTATCTATTCTATTCTATTCTATCCTATCCTATCCTTTTATCTATCTATCTATCTTATCTTATCTTATCTAATCTTATCTAATCTAATCTATCGATCTATCTATTGACCTATCTATTGATCTATCTATCTATCTATCGATCTATCGATCTATCGATCTATCTATCGATCTATCGATCTATCGATCGATCGATCTATCTATCTATCTATCTAACATATCTAACATATCTAACATATCTATCTTTTCCTTATCTTATCTAATCTTACCTAATCTTAATCTAATCTAATCTATTCTATTCTATCTATCTATCTATCAATCAATCAATCATTCATCCATATCTAACATATCTAACATATCTAACATATCTATCATATCAATCTATCTATCTATCTGTCTGTCTGCCTGCCTGCCTGCCTGGCTGGCTGGCTGGCTGGCTGTCTGTTTGTCTGTCTGTCTGTCTGTCTGTCTGTCTGTCTTCTCTCTCTGTCTGTCTGTCTGTCTGTCTGTCTGTCTAGCCTGTCTAGTCTGTCTAGTCTGTCTAGTCTCTCTAGTCTCTCTAGTCTCTCTAGTCTCTCTAGTCTCTCTAGTCTATCTAGTCCATCTAGTCCATCTAGTCCATCTAGCCTATCTAGTCTATCCAGTCTATCCAGTCTATCCAGTCTATCCAGTCTATCCAGTCTATCCAGTCTATGCAGTCTATCCAGTCTATCCAGTCTATCCAGTCTATCCAGTCTATGCAGTCTATCCAGTCTATCGAGTCTATCTAGTCTATCTAGTCTATCTAATCTATCTAGTATATCTCATCTATCTCATCTATCTCATCTACCTAATCTATTTAATTTTGTCTAATCTAATCTATCTAATCTATTTAATTTGTCTATCCATGTTGAAACAGACGTGTAGATATATAACAAAAATATGTATATATATATATGGATACATTACATACGTACAATTCCCTACATATGTACAGACACACACACATCAGCCAATCAGACAGCAGCCAACCAGCCAGACACACGCAGAAGTCACCTGGCAGGGAACTCTCGTGGTCTTCAACTTGGAACTAGGCGCGGCGAAACCACTGCGCAGTGCCACGCTGGAGCTCAATGGTGTCCTTTTCCGGCTGCTGGGATGCGATGTGGGCGAGACACCGTTAAGAAAACACGGGTATAAACCCTGGAAATCCAAAAGCAATGGTGATTTAGAGGGATATATTGGAGATAGTCATGGGATTCTTCATGGGATGTACAATCAACTTGATATGATAAAAGTGGTTTGGGGATATAACTACCCCAAACGAATGGCAATTTAAATGGGGAAAATTGTGAGAAACTTTGGATGATGCTGGGGTATTCAATTTTGAGAGAATTTTGAAATGCTGAAATACTCTGAAACACTTTTGTATGGCCGAATTTGTGGGTTCATTTAACATTTGCACCTTGTTTTTGATAGCCAAATGGGTTGAAACACCTAAGCCGTGGGGAAGACCACAGCAATGGGGCCCTGCAAGATGGCTATGGGTTTACTGTTGTTTTTCAATACCCGTTTAGTCATTAGTTGACAACCTGGGTTAAACGCCACAAATTTGCTTGTGGTATACATGAAGGAGATGGTGAACTGATAGCTGGATTGAGACCGAAACGACCCCTTTTCCAAATTTCTATAGTGACCCACTAAGTGATGTCCGTGGAGTTGCACGTTGATTCTGAACATATCTAAGCCATAGATATACCCAAGTAAAATCTAGTCGCAAACCCACTTGACTATGGGGCACCACTTTGCATCCGATAGGACTCTGCTGCACAGCTGAGGAATGTCTTCACTGACCTGCCGGACACTGTGTTTCCCGGCGAAGATTCTGCTTCAGCAGATCTGAATCCAATATCCAGAATCTTCACGGATCGAAATCACTAGGGTCACTAGGGTACCCAAAGACAATTTTGTTGTTCCAGTTTCCCATTTCTAGGCTCCATCACTTTCATAGCTTCGAGAATTCCAACCTGGGGGCCTATATGTGATGCGCGCATATTTTGTCTGCCATTATTGGTTACACCCAGCATGTTTGGCCATTTTATTTCCACGCCTGTATCTAATCTCGGTTGCACTTCACTACATGAATGCTTTGAAGCCCCAAGTCTACTTAGTGTACTTTGCACGAACCTGTTCTTGGCTACCGGACAGAACCTATTTTTGGTCAAGTCATTGTCTTTGGCGCTGAAGGGTAATCACGGGAACCCTGCATCCTCGAAATGATCGAGGATCATTACACCAACAGAATTATGGGGTAAATGAAGGTAATGATTTCAACTATGAATCATGGGCCTACACGAACTGGCACTCAAACCAGTTTCTATTACCCAACTCACACTTTCGACTGGCAATAGCCGCAGCCACCTTTGTATTAAGTTCTTCTACGCATTTCCAAGCAACAACTAACCACCAACTTCCAAACTAGCTTCCGTGGACCCCAACTAACCATCATCCATCAACCAGGGTAGTGCCCTCCCCCAGCTGTGAGGTATCCGGCCGTCTCCAACACCCTGGGCGCACCGGGGCGTTTTCAGCTGCTGTGTGACTCTGACCTGGAGGCCGTGGCTGCGGCTTCAACCAGCACCGCTGCAAAGGAGCCTTGGGGAGAAATGGGGGTTGAAGCAACCAACGGATGGGGATTTTCATGATTTTCCATACAATGGAGGTTTTTGCCAGCACTTGAATGGGGATTTCACCACCAAAGATGGTGATTTGAGGGCCGCAAACATGGGGATATAACTGATATAACCAGAAAAGATGAGGGTGGTAACCCTTTGCTAATGAAACCTGGCTGGCTGGAAAGGTAACATCTCTGGGAGTTGGATCAGAAACAGACGGGGCATTCCGACATTCCTACATTATTTCACTGTTGTGAATATTTGAGAACATTGGTTTTATCAGGATTACACTTGCGATCAAACATGGAATGTGGCTACTTAAGATAATACACTGCTTCAATGGTCTTTGACAGGGAATCCAATGGGCTTGAGGTAGCCACATGTAGGCGGAGTGAATATCTCATGTGATCCCGGGTTACTGTTCGTCCATGCCACTTGGTGGCCCTCGGCACTGAGGAATCAGCGGGATGACACAAAGATGCGTGCTTGTGTGGTTTGGGACGGGCACCATTGGGGTTCACTCGAACTTTACTTGGGAAACGGCAAGGGAAACTTGCATGAGATTCATGGGTACCAGTGGCAACCTGAAAGTCATTGTGAGTTGGGACCAAAGTGCCAAAGTTTCAGCAGTTCACATCCCAAAATGTCACTTCAGCATATTGTAGCCATTTTTCTGTTGAAAACAAACAGATACCATCATGGTGAACCACTGGGTCGAAGATTTGGAATCAGATTTAGCGGGTTTTCATGGCCTTCTGGTGTTCATCCCACCCAGGTGGCGGGAACGTTCACAGATGGCTTTGGGGACTTTTCTGGATCCCACTTGATGTTCGGGTTGTCAGCTGGGCTTCAAGCCCTAACCCTTCACCCAGCGAAGGTGACACTCCGCTGCTTGGATCCCAGCTGAAGATACACCCCAACATGACTCTAACATATGGAATCCCGAAATATGGCAGCCCAGGAAACGTTCCCAAATTTGTCAGCTTCACTGGGATCAGGAGAGAAAAACGAACGGTGCCTCCTAACACAGATGGACCTTGAGAACCGCTGCTATCCAAACATATCCTGACACTTGCAGTGGACCATCCAAAACGTTTGAGATCATTTTTTGAGGCAACTCTACCAACTGCACGTTTTGATATGAAGAAAACAGTTTCCTTGCAGCTTTTCCATGATTCATCACGGATTTAAATCAGACTTGGGATTTGTACCCTTAGACATTTCAAACTTCAAGGTGGAGCATTCCAAATTTCCCAGTTTCCTGGTGAAGATAACTGCACACATCCTGGTTAAACCATGTCCATTTTGGTGTTGTTTGGTAGAACAGTTTTTTTCCTGCAAAACAGCCTGAAACTCGGCATTCTTTGGCAAAAGTTGCTGCCATGGCACCCGACTGGCCGCCCTCGCCCCGGGACTTTGATGGTTCTGCGTACGTCTTCGCACCCGACGACGAAGCGGGCTATGCGCAGCACTTCCGTGGCGCGGACTGTGGCAGAGAAGCCAATTAAATGGGGAGTTCACAAAGGTTATCACTCCGATTTGATGCAAAATCCTCAGTTTTCCTACGAAGCCAGAATTCGTAATCGGAACAATGAGGATTATGAGGATTTAACCCACCATGGGGATTAAAACGCATTAGATCTATGAAATTGAGCTCTATATAATCCACAAAAAGGGGGGCTTGAAGCCTCAAAACAGGGTGAAGCTTTGTGAATGATAGCTTGGTTAGTGGATTTCACCAAGAAACATGGGGTTTAAGCAACTATCAAACATACGGATATTGGGCCACATAATAGGAATGTAAGCAGCAAACATGGGAACCAACTCTCAAAGATGTAGATACACCTACCAAAGATGAGGACGTAATCAGCAAACATGGTAAGGAAATGTTAGGAACTAGTTTGTAAAATTAGCCACTCATAATGGGATAGAGGGTGAAATAAGCAAACAAAAATGGTACTTCAACTCATCCAAAAAGAGACCTGTTTGATCCCACAAAAAGTGTTTTTTTCCACTTGAGGGGACCAACACCGGCCACATCTCCGACGAATGGATGGACATGTCCGCATGAAACGCTACTTGCGTGTTGTGAATTTGTATCCGTTCATACATCCTGTAATCTTTGGCTGGTCATGCCCCCCAGCAGTTCACCCAAGGCGAGCATGGCTTTGTGGTGGTCGATGACATTCTTGAGCCGGAACAGGTGGGGCTGTTGATTTGTAGGAGGGCAATGGGTTGTGAAGAGCTTGGTGCCACTTCAAGACTTGAACTTTAAGTTTTTGGTAGCCCATGTTGGTGAATGAAGCAACATTTTCACGACCAGCAGCTTGTTTGGTTCAAATCTGTCAGCCAGGAGTTGTCCCAATACGGCCACCCGAAATAGTCATAGGATCTCATAGGGCCATAGGGTATCAACATCTTTTAACAATGATGGTGGAATACGGTACTTTCACCCATAGATATACCAAGGAAAAAAGAAAGGTCATTGACCCACAGGTTCTTTGTAGGTCCCTCCAGTGGGCTTTTTGATCGCAGAAGAACTGACGGGACCTGAAGGAGGAATTCATGGGTGTGCCAGTTTCTCGAACGATTACTTCTCTCCTAGTTTTTCTCTCTTTTATCGTCGTATCTATCACATCATAGCAAAAGTCTCCATCTTATAGTTTGCAGTTTCCCATTTACGCTCTGGAAATCTAACATAGCCATGGAAGATGTTGTGTTTCTTTTAACAATCATCGTAGAATCTACACATGGGTAGTTTTCCATGGCTATGTTAAATTGACCGGAGGGTCTCCAGATTTTCTTCCATCTCCACCTGGGTTTCCATCGCTCTGCCGCGGCCTTCTTCGCAGGTGAAGGCGACCATTGAGGAGATCTGGAGTAACCGCAGCCTGCTGGGGGGCCATGATGGTCTCGATCCGCAGGTGGGCTGGGTGGAATACCTTTTAGTCATCTGAAAGGACCAGAAAAAGGGGAGATTAGTAGATTTCCAAATATCCCATGAATCCCCATGAGATTTCCGGTCAATTTCCAATGATCTTCTTTCAGAAATGGCCGAAATTTATCCACTAGATCCCCAGTAAAAATCTGAAATTCTCGTTGTATCCCCATTTCTGCAAAAGGTCCTCGGGCCTCGTGAACAGGAGCCTCGCAGCTGGGACGCATGGCCCGGTGGAGCGCGGAATTTCCTGGACTCCCTCAGCCCCTTGGAGGCGTGGCTGGTGGCTGGTGAAACCTCTGAGATTTTTCAATGGAATTTGAATGGGAACATCCAATTGTTTCAAACCACGGGTTCTAAAGTCAGACTACAACCGAGCCCCTTCCCGGAGGTCCCCACCAAGAGGCAGATGCCGCTGCACCTTTTCACTCCAAGTTGGGCTCGGTATTGAGCCAGTTAGTTTGATTGGCCCTTGAGCCAATTGAATGGCTTGAGCCTTGAGCCACATTGCAACAGTCGGAGGACGTCTCAACGACTGTGAAAAACTTAAAAAGACCTTAGTGGGGGTGCAGTGGTACTCTGTTCAGGTTTCCCAACCGCACTCCCCCTTCCTGCTTGCAGGAATCGAGGTTCCCCAACACCAAAAGCAACAAGTTCAGGGGTGGCCACGTTTTCACTGGGAACTCGCCCTTCCCCCAGCCAGAAGGGCGAAGACCCTCGTGAGCCATGATCCCAAACGGGTGTTGGTTCCCCTTTCATCCATTGGTCGCGTGGAGTTCTACTTCGGGTCGACTCCAAAAAATTGAAAAACTACAGCCCTAACTTCGTAGGTTTTTTGAATTCCTCTCTCACCAGCGCCGCACTCGAAGAGCGCCCAACGGTGTTCTTTGGGTCCAGCAGCTGATGAGCTTTTCCCTGTGTTGATCTTTTCCACCGGCAGCTAATGATCTTTTCCTTGGGTCTTGATGATCTTTTTCTCCAGCCACCGATGTACTTTTCCCGGCGATCTATCCTTTTTTAATTCTTCTTTTTCTTTTTCTTTTTCGGTTCCCACTTGCAATAGGATCCGGGCTTCTTTTTCCTTCTGATCGCCTTGAGTTCCCATTGGTTGCGGAGCTATCGCTTTTGATGGTTTACCATGAAGTTGTATTTCATCTATCTTAACCACACTCCCCAAAAATTCCATCCCTCGAACTGCTACCTGATCCCTCGTTTCTGTGGGACCCGACCTTGGTACATCTTCAGCAGCTCGATGTTCTTTTCGATTGGACCTGGCACCACAATCCAAGTCCCAATGTTTCTCTTGTCCACCTCCCTGGATGGTCTTATGGAAGTGTTCTACTTTTCCCGCACTGTGCTCTTGGGCAACATGGCCGTGGTGATCTTTTACCCGCAAAACTTTCAAAATTGGTGGACTTTCATCCCAAAAATGAACCCTTTTTGGTTTTGAGTTAACCCCTTTGGATCTATTCCCCCGTTTTAGAATACCCCTAGGTTCTTCTTCTACAGGGTGTTCAACTTGTCCAGGAATGTTCTTCTTCTCCAAAAACGGTAAGACCGACTCCAACTGGAACCGATCCTTGACCACGGATTCAGTGACGCGATACGCATCAGCCAGTACTTGCACCAGCCTTCCAATGGCAGTGCTCAGGGCTTCATGCCGGAATTTGGCTAGCTCTGGATATTCTTTGGCCAGACCAACCACCTTTTTTACCACTGATACGCACCGACCAGCGATGACTCGGTAGTTGTCCCATGAGGAAGTCTCCTGGTCTGGTTCTTCCGGATGGTGTTCTTCTCCCAGAGGTTGTTCTTCGCGGCGGTTGGACCCTATTGTTGGTTCCTCATTTGGAACCCCGGAACCTTGGCGATTGACAAACCTCCAGAACCTTTCCCAGTTTGGCTTCACAGCGATGATCTTTGACAGCAAATCGGCCACAAGTTTTTTCCCCGGAAGGTCTTCATTCCGACCATGTTCACCTTCTTCCGGTTGATGTTCTTCAAGACGTGCAATCCCCTTCGTGGATCTTGCCCTTGAAGCGTGCATTTGTTGATCTTGTTTCGGATCCACACTTGGAAATTCGGCGTCCCAGTTTTGTTGATGTTCCAGGCTGATTTTTCTGACGATGAACTCCCCCGAGTTTGGACTTCCATCTTCTTTTGCAGGTGCCTCCCCCGAGCCTTGATCGTCTTGTCCTGAAACTTTTGAAACACAAAAGGTTGAAACTTTTGAACAGACACCGGGCTCCCCCCCTGCTGGTTCATCAGCAGGCTCCTTTTTAAATCTGGAGATTTTGGTGGAGACTTTATTCGCTTCTTCCCGCGTGAAACGTCGGTCGTTCCTCTTTTCCGTGTCCATGCGCTCGATCTCGGTGATAAGAGCCAGGGCGTGATCCCTTCGGACCACTGGACACCCAGACCGCTCCCAGCATTTGATTTTTCCCAGTCTTGGGTGTTTCACCGCACATCCTGCACGGGACCATGTGATGGTGTATCCCAATTCCGCAAGTCCTCTGAGAGGAACTATAGGTTCCACCGGACCTTCCGATAGAAGTGTTCCATTCATGGGATTTTGGTAGAGCTGCGCGGCTCCGTGAGCTAACTCCACAGTGACCTGCACTGCATTCTTGATCTCGTCGCTGGTACCCTGTCGTAGGGGGTGTGTTGCACCACCATCCAAGAGACCCGTGTCTTCAACTTCGGGATCCCCACCATTCCCCAACGACTTCAGCATTGGCCCCGCGATACCCTTCATGTGGTGGTTCACCTCTTGAACCGCTTGAGCGGCTCGTTCGGGTCCGGGATTGATAGAATTTTTTGGAGTGACCTTTACGGTTTTCGCTTCGCACGGTCCACATTCCGCTCTCTTACCAATTGTCTTCGGCATGGGTCCAGTAATGCTTTTCAGGAGATGGTTCACTTCTTGAATCACTTACTTCTTCATTTTCCGGAGTGATTTGCGCGGCAGTTTCCGCCTCATCCAATCCACCTTCAACGCTTTCCGGTGCGCCCGCATCTCCTTCTCCTACTGACCCCCCTTTTGGTTCACGTGACTCACTTCTTTTCCCAGCAGCACACTCACGCTTGGAGTGCCCTTTTCCAGAACAGTTGAAACATCGGCCATCTTTGGAGTCCAAGACGGTGTGCACAAACCGGCATCGTTCTGCATATCGGCACCCCTTATCAGTCAACCAGTTGACACACGCCGTCTTGTGGACCACATTAGCCGCATTAATTGGCAGCTCCGGTTTCTCCCCTTTTCTTCCGGTTGAAGAGCCAGCTGCATCATCTTGTTTTCCTTTTGAACCGCCCTTTGGTGGATTTTCAGATGGATCCGGTCCACTCATAGACTTCACCCCTACCACATTGTTGGGCTTAGTCGTTGGGCCCTGTATTGTGTTCCCCGGTTGACGGATGGCCATTTCACCAGCTTCAGCTTGAAGAAGTTCAGAAAACGTTCTGATCTCTTGCATTCCTGGCCGGAGATCGATGCCCAAATGCTGCCTCACCGAAGACAATCGGTAGGCCGCCTGAGCTCCCCCGAACCTGGCTAATGCATCACTCATTTTTGCGACCACTCCGGCCAAAACCAGAGGATCGGGCAAAACTAATTGAAGTTCTTCGGCACGAACTACCCACCTTCTCCATTTCCGGATGGAGTTGACCATCTCTGCAGCATCATTGGATGGGCCCTTCCAGTCCACCAACATTTGCAACAGAGAAGTTCTTTCCACTTGTCGTCCAGGCTGGAAGACGGTGTACAGCTTGAACATGACTTGACCCGCTGACATGTGTCTGTTCGCCACAAGGTCCTCGTAGATGTCCTTGGGGACGGCTTGAAGCAGCATACCCACCACCCGGTTCTCTGTGCGAGGCCACCCACGGGCCATGTCAGGCATCACAGGCGCCATCCGGAGCCTCACGAGTGGATCCGCTTGCAACCAGTGATGGTATGCTTGTTCAACAGCAGTCATCACTACTCCCCACCATTGCGCTGAGGTGTAGCTCACATCCCCAATCATCTGTTGGACAACTGTCAGCCAGTCTCCAAAGTCCAAAGATGTTGCATTCCTGTCCAGCTTCGGCAATTCGACCGACCTTAGCGTTTCGCCTGGTACTTCTCCCCCTGCCTGAGGTCCTGCTTGGACTACAGCTTGTTGTTGTTGTGGCGGTACAGCTTGTCCTGGATTTCCTTGATGACCACCTGGGAGACCTGGATTTCCCTGATGACCACCTGGCGGACCAGGTGCTTGTCCCGGATTTCCATACTGCCCTGGCGGTGGACCCCCTGGCCAACCATAACCACCCATAGGTCCGGTGTTTCCACCCGGAAATGCAAAGCCTCCATGAAGTCGATGATCTTGTCCTGCAGGTGCTCCTCCAACTTGGGCTTGAAGATTATACCATTGATTAGGTTGATCACCAATGAAAAAGTGTCTTGTGTTTTCCGTGGCTCCCATGCAAGGAGCTTCCATCGGTGGTCTTGACGCCGCTCCCTGCGGCATACCTCCCGGTGGTATTCCATTCACTAGCCTTGCTTTAGTCAGGAATGAGGGAATGAGGTGAAGATATGCAAGATATGAAATACTTAAACACCATGATTTCACCTACTGTAACGGAAATGACGCCAGAACTTTGCAGCATAAACCACTAAGAGCAGAGATCATTTCAATCAAAGCTCGTCGTGGCCAATATTTGCGCACTGTCACTTCTTGCTGGCTGTTAAGCAGGAACAGGGGAACCATGGAAAATTGATGAAGATGATGAACTTCCATTGATGGACTCAAAGATGTCTTGAAAAGATCACCAAAGTAACCCATAGGATCCATAATCCATAGTGCTAACTTTAAGAAAGGAAAACTGGGGTGGGCGCCGCCAGGCTTGCTGCCCAGCAAGACCTTTTTGCAAAACAAAACTCAGTAGGTAAACAAAACCGCTAGAAATGCATCTACTACAATGTTTGATTGTTGTTTTTTTTGGGCTGCTTGCTGGTCAGCAAACACACTTCAGTCGTTAAAAAACCTTTGGAAGGGTACCTGCCTATAATGAAAGTTTACAAAGGAAACCATGAAAACAACAGCGATAGATATGAAAGATTTCCATCGAAATCATTGTGGCGACATGTAAAAAGCATCAGCAGGTATTGATGGAAACATAAGTTTTAATGATATACACCTAGAGGGAAATGATTGGCGTAAGAATTTCCAAGATGAGGTGCTGATAGTTACTTGCTGTTCAGCAAGGATGCAAAACCTGACAGTTGAGAAAATTCTT